ATAGTCATATGACTTGATAATAAAAGTCATATGACTTGATAATAAAAATATGTTAGTTTCTTACCATATGCTGGGGACTTAGCTGTTAAAAAATAGTCAATATGATTGTCAGGTCATATGGTAGTATAATTACTCATACTATTCACCTTGCTTTATCAGTTATAAATATCACCTGCCATAATTACTTCAACAATTTTATTCTGAATATTTTAAAGAAAGTTATACAGTGTTTCTTCCCTGAATACTTATTTTACATCTATAAAATGACATTTCCTTACTTTACCACGATACCATTACTAATTAACAAAATGGACTGTATGCTCATATCATCACCTGGGTCAAGCCCATATTCATTCACATTCTCCACATTGTCTACAAATATCTTTCATAGTTCTGTTAATAGGACCCAGTCATGGCCTTGGGTAGCATTTGATTATTATCCCTTTGGAGACTCTGAATTTTAGAATTGTTTTCTTCTTCCTATCTCCCCAAAATCTTCCTACTCCCCTAGACACACATAATTATATTGACTGGTTGAAAAGACTGAGCCAGTGGCCCTATGGAATATCCCACCTTCTAGATTTGTCTAAAAGAATAAATAAGGTATTGTTCAATGAGTTGGGGTGGACACTGTCAATTTGGAAAGACTTGCAATGATTGATGTGCTGATGTGCTGTGGTAGAAAGCACACTTTCTTGATTGCAAGTCTATTCTTTGTAAGTTCACTTGGAGGCTTTTGGTGGTCTTCAAAAGTCCGCAGTGTTTGGGATGTTGTTAGAAGACTAATAAGTCACTAGAGAGACTTTCTATGTTCCTCTCCTATCTTTATTTCTTGTTTTATTGTGTGATTCCACTATATGGGACACATTGGTTAGTGTTCCAACTTATTTATGCTAAACTTAAATATTTGACTTGATAATAAAAATATGTATGTTTCTTACCGTATGCTGGGGACTTAGCTGTTAAAAGCACAGCCTTCATATCTGGTRCAGTCATCTAGAAGCTATGCTCTGAGCCTCATTTTACTCATTTGGTAAAAGATAAACCCCCTTATTTCAGATGTCTATTTATTTGCTATTCAGAATAATGAAGACAACAAAATAAAGTGTCTCTAATAGGACTGGCACAGGTTAATCTACCAAATGATAGTGAATATTGTTGTTTCTGTACATAACAACAATAACTTTTTGTTTTAGATTGGAACCCAGTTTGTATCTACAGGAGAAAGAAAAAGGACCAGCATAGCAATGGAGCTGATCACGGATCCTCCCATCTTGTTCCTGGATGAGCCCACAGCTGGTTTAGACTCCAGMACAGCAAGTGCTGTCCTTTTGCTCCTGAAAAGGTAAATACTATGGGAATATTGTTCTTTCATTTATTTTATATTTGATGATTTCTGTGTACCACATATTCCTAGAGCAGGGTATTTGGAAGTGAACAGCAGAATTTCTTCCTTCCTTGTTAGAGGGAAATACTCAATGAACAAAGTAGTGTTATCAAGAATAATAAAGCAATAGAAGAGGGAGGGACGCCAGTGGTGGAGTGGGGATCTTTTTTAAAGAGCTGGGAAGACCACAGCACGTGACGCATGAGCTGGGAGTGAGTGAGTGAGACCTGCGGCAGCTGCGGTGGAGAGTTGTAGCTGGAAGGAGCAGCTTGTGGCCCTGAGGCAGAGCATGTCTAACGCATGTGGAGCACAAGAGAGTTTAGAGGGACAGAACCTGTGACCAGTGTGGGTGGAGGCTGGCTG